TGCTCGCAAAGTACCTGACACGTCTGAGAGCCGCAGATTCCCAGCTCTCTAATGAGACTTTCTTACCTTTGTCATTATGGTATTCAACCAGCATACTCTCGGGCAGAGGGAAGTCGATCTACCGCAATTGTGGTACGTGACTTGACGACAAGGGCTTCTCGATTCGGGGTCCTTGGTTTGGGCTTAAAGACTGGATTGCGCAAAGACTACAGTCGCATTATCAAACAAACGCCACATTGCATGGGAAATTTGCCATGGGAGATTTCGGCCTAGGATGTTGATTAAATATCTCGACCCGATTCGTCATAGTGTGCGAGAAACGCGAGAAAGCCATCATAGTCTCAACGCTGGGACATGAATAATGTAGATAAATGCAATTGACTTCCGGTAATAGATTTGGATGGCCAGCAATTTATGTGTAAGCTCGGAATACCCAGGGTTTCAACGCACTAATGGCAGCTACTGAAAACAATCAATGCGGCTATTCGCAGCTACCAAGGCGCCGTGGATCTGTCTCGTCCATCGATTGTGTGGTGTGGAACACTTCCAAGTCTGTTGTTTATAGCATGTGCACACTTGTCGCTTGCACTTGTGCGGATTTGTTGTCGATGCTGGCCGTAGGAACCGAAAGGCTCCGAGAGACGATCTTGTACGTTGGATCGACAAAGAGCTTGATTTACTGGTTGATCAGTGATGTGAAATCTGTTGGGATCTAAATAAGCATTCGTCACCTGCTTTGGAACGTCAAAGAGACACATCAGTATATTCTGCAGCTCTGTTTGTTGAATGAATATTATACAGATTCGGCAGCCCAGAATGTTGCTGCTGTAATAGGCAAACATATGACTTAAATTCCTTATGAATCTTCGGCCCTCATGATACTGTTCTTGTCGGGGTAGGCCTTCCGCCAGATGTCATGCATCAAAGACACTCGCATGTCAACTGGGCGAATACTTCATTGACAGAAACTCTTGCAAGAGGTACTGGATGCCGATAAACGCTGTCAAGCGGAAGCTGGGGATCAAAATCACTGGTGGCGTTATTGCTAGAGCCTGCGAAACGGGGGTAGAAATCATTAGCGTCTGGGGTTGAAAGAAGTGTTGTATGAGAAGCGTCATTTGCCGCTCCGTTGCTGGCTGATTTTCATATTGCGTAGCTCTTAGAGCTGTTTTCTACTACAAAAAGTCAGACCAAGGGCAGGTAGAATATACCAACAATACTCGAATATCCATAGATACGCTTCATGTAGGATACCTAGGCTGCAGCGTATAAAACACGGCAGTCCGTTATTATATTCAGAGATTCTCAAATCTAATAACTTCACTTCAACTAGTACGACACTGAGCTTATTACAGAACATGATAGCAGTCATCTGAACGCTTTCCACTGTTGTTGTCGTAGTCATCTTAGCCAAGAAGCTTAATCGCTCTTAATCCCAAGGTATTAATGTAGGTTAATCGCCGGACGGAGCTGATGATAACATCTTACAGGCAAAACTTACTGATGTAGCTGTGCCAAAGAACACCTTAGAGGTTAGAGAGCCTAAAGGGGCATTCGCCTGAAGCGTTTCTAGGTGGAGGACAAATTGTCGTTTCTGCTGTTGCTCAAGAACCTCTATAACTTGCTGAGCCTTTTATCTAAGAGCCTCTTCCTCCTCAGAATAAAGGTGATCTGCTGACATTCTAGGCTACGAAGGGTATATCTGCTGAGGCGTTACAATTAAGAAAAGACCAGCAACAATTAAACACAGCAGCTACTTAGATTTCTTGTCTTCATAGTGTATTAATGATGAGTGAACCAACTTACCTACTGACCGAAAGATCAGATTTCTTCAATCTAAAATGAAAGGTTGTAGTCTATTATCTTATACATCCTCTGTATCTCATATCATCCTGCAGATATTGAGGCGAGAATACTAACGAAGCTAGGTTTTGAATATCGTGAAGGTATTGAGATCACCTGCGCAGTGAGGTACATCATCTGTCACACACCCAGTTCACAAGTTCCTTAAACTCTTGACTCTGGCTTCTAGAATTGCTTTGTGTCTTAGAGTAGCAATGGTGGGAGTATGAAGTGGTCAACGAGCATTCACATGCCGGCGCGGTTTATTTAAAAGACTGATGGGTCTTTGTCACAGACGCTTTCCCAACCGCAAATGAGCTGGTTAACAAAAAATAATCCAAGAAACTGGTAGACTGGACGCGCTGCTAAGACATGTTGATGGCATTTTGCAGGCTGAGTACTAAGTGATGAGCAATCGAAAATGGCCTTTGTTGATGTTCCTCAGGTCGCCTTGCCTATTAGGTCCACGCACACAGTTGTATTCTCAAGAGATGTGGCATTGAAATGTAGGAAGGCTGTGATTTGGTCTGTGATGTTGAAACATAATGTGATGTGCGTGAGAACTACCAGGCTTAAATCAGCATGCTGACCAATAGGTTCACCGCGCTTTGATTCTTCTGATGGTCAGTCTAAGTTGACATAATAGCAACATTTTTATGTCTATGTTAACTTGAGCAAGAATGTATTGTCTGAATATAGGCGTGATATTCATGATGTTGCAGATTCATTTATAATAAGATAGCTGGGTTATTCCACTTCATCTCACCAGTGAGACTAGGTACGGAATATGACGATTGCTACTTTACCACAGCAGCAAAAGGACCTTGTATCATTATAAAAGACATAGAAGCCAGCGGTTATGGAAAACGTGAGAGAAACACGGAAAATATCTGTGGTAAGAAGGGCAAAGAAGGTCTGTTCGCGCGAGAGGACGAGATTCGCGATATTCTTGCCTAGGTCCCAACAGGCTCAGAAGTTGCTTGTTGGCGGGTAGTCCACATGTCGCCGAACGCAAGTGGCTACTGGCAGTCAGCGGCATATTCAGCTGTAATTTGTACAGTATTCTGTTCGAATACTTATCAGATGAAGCAGACGATGGTCATAGACAGCACACACTGTTGCACACGAAGTATTGTGCATCTGCCCTTACTATAACGGCAAATTTGCGAATTGGCTTGGACTTCTGAAAGGGAGACGACAATTGCTATTGATTCTAAGTCAAAATTTCCATTTTTTCCATTTTATACACCGACTTACTCAACGCGTTTGGGCATTCTCAGATGACTAGGTGGCCGGATGTGGACGTGGGACCGCCGAGGGTGGAATCACACTCTGAGAGTATCATCGTATATGTGTAGTATATAAGACGAGGCTTACTTTCGATTCTGACAGAATCCTAACAACACAGAGGCAAATATCCCAGGGATTGTAGTTCATTACTTTGAGGAAGGCTCAACTTCAGCATGAAGGACTGAAAACATCAGTCATATACGTCTTTCTCAAACCACAGGTAAAGACTGCGAAGCTTGCTCCGCCATAGAATACTCAACGGAGGTACACTCTAGGAGACGATGATGAACACCACGCAAAATCGTGAGAACTGAAGGCTACGGTGTCCATCAAGGTGTTGTATCAACCAGGCCTTACCTGAGCTGCTACTTCAGTAAACCACCATGGCCTTCAACAGATTTGACAACAATATATCATTGTGAATGAAAACTCATGTGTAGAGAACATCATGATTAACTTGAAAGAGAGGTAGGTTTTCAAGATGTAGGCATTCATTGCTGCGACTCCAAGTCCTCAACTTACTGCGGTACAGAAATCTAGTAGAATCCTCCTCGTCTTGGAGTGGTTGTCAGCCGGGTTTGTTGTCGGGCATCCGTGCTGTTATTCTGAGTTGTCCGTGAGATTGTATTGCGGGCCTATATTAGTCGGCTCCATGCCCCACGACCATAGAGCCTCAGCAAGATAGTATCTGATGTAATCCATGATGCCAAGCATTCCGACCCGGAGGAGATCTGTTGTTGATCCAGGACTGGACGTCAGCAGAAAGTCTCACGAAATTACCACCCCAGAGGTATTACCCATAGTCCTCCGCCCTTCTCTTTCGAAGAGTAATGTAATAAGGAATACTCAGCTGACGATAGCAAATCTGCTTTATTGTATCGGCGACGTTGGATAAGACGGCTGACTGCGCACGGCATGTCAGCCTCTCTTTAGGGGCAGAAACAGCTCGACAATGCGAACCTCGTAGTGCGAACTACGATATTCGCATATTTACTCGCATCGGTACTAAGTGTCAAAAAGCGAAATTTATACGGCATCAACGGTGCCCCTCAGCTTGGCGCTCGTGACTCTGGAAACCGTGATTCAGCACGCAGTACAGAACCCAAGTCTCGCAACAAATGCGCAGCAATCCAATCTGATTTCTACGTCCTCGATAATAAACCCCTAACGGACACTGAATCTGCATAGCAGTATATTCTCCCAAGTGATGTTTACAAGTCTTCTTCACAAGATATAAAGGCGCTGTCTCCTGAAGCCAAAATAACCTTACAGATCAAGTAACAGAGACACTCAAGGCCCAATTCTTCGACATGGCGACGATCCCTGGATAAACTGCTGTGCTCCTCGGTGCGGGCCGTAAACTCGTCAGACCTCTTCTATTTCGACATCACCGCTCTCTTACATTTCCCTCGTCTCACAAGTATTCAATCTGAGACATGTTCAGCTCATATGTCACCGGGGTTGAGCTCTAATGATTGCCTCGCGTAGCGGGATAAACCCCACATCCAGTGAGCCATGTAGTCTGTTAAACCACGCACAATGACAAAGGGGCAATTATTGCTCGGCTCAGCTTTTGGTCGACACGTGTTGACAGGCTTTTTATATAGGGCAACCAAGCTTTGGAGGCCATCCTGGACTCTCGCCGAAGAGCAAGAAGCCCAGACAAGTAGCATCGTAAAATAATCGAAAGACGTCCTTCAAATGACATGAACCCTTTCAGTGAAGTCATGAGTGGTATCTTTTCCTCTAGGTCTCCCCGTTTACCGAAACCCGCGCCTCTACACCGGCGGAAAAAGTCTATAACAAAACACTTAACCTCCTCTCTTCTCTAGACAAAACGTCTATCGGCCAACAACATCTATCGCCTTCTACCCCTCAAACACCTCATGCTGCAGTTCAACACCGAAATCTTGCGCGATATCCTTCATCCTCTTCTCCATCTCATCCTCCATGCCTCCACCAAAACCTAGCCACTGCCTGATCTTGAAAAAGTAAAACGCGACGTCCGTCAGCGCCAGTACCCCCTTGAACACGAAATGCCTCCACGCGTTGCCGACCCTCCTCGCCCACGGCAGGTTCGGGTCCTCGTACAGGCTCCGCGACGCCCACTGGCCCATCATCTTGACGCGGTTCACGGGACTGCCGAGGTACTGATTATTCCCCTGCACGATGCGCATGTTCCTCCCGATGAAAATCAGCTCCTTCGGCCACTTCTCCTCGTCGGCCAGCATATCCCGGATACCCTGCTTCATCCGCTGCTGCATCTCGTAGTGCCGCTCCGCCGGCGTCTTGCCCTCGAGCTCCTTCATGATGCCGTTGCGCGTGCGCTCGTCCCCGCCCTCGTACGGCCGCATCAGCGTCGCGCTCGCAAACAGGTCCGCCGCCTTGATCCCCCACGCCTCCGTCACCTGCTCGATCGTCTTGTTGTCGAACGTCATCAGCGCTTTCCAGAACACGCCGTACTGGTGCCGGAACGCCGGGCTCATGTACACGTACAGCCCGTGGTCGATGAGCACCAGCTCCGCCCGCCCGCTCGGCAGCCGCCGGATGAAGATGTTGCCCGGGTGCGGGTCGCAGTGCACCACGCCCCATTTGAAGATCTGCGCCGAGAACAGGTCCACCATCGTCGTCATCACCTCCTTGCTGCTCAGCCCCAGCCCGCCGCGCCCGCGCCGGCCCCGCCACTCCCCGCGCTCGGGCTTCAGCTGCTCCCGGTAAGGCCGCTCGCGGAGCTCCCGCCGCACGGCCGCCGCGTCGGGGGCATCGAGTGTCGTCGCGCCCTTGACGCCCGGCGACCCGTTCCCGTACCCGCCGAGCCAGCGGCCGTTGATGCCCTGCTTGTCCCACAGCCGCACGCCCTCGATCCACTCCGTCGTCATGACGCGCTTCGTCGACAGCTCCGGATACACTTTCGGCACGTACACGCGGCCGCGCAGGCTGCGCTCGCCGTCGATCAGCGCGCGCATCGTCTCCGAGTTCTTGGCCTCGTTCTCAAAGTCCGTCTCGAGCTCGAGCCGCTCCGTGATGAAGGGCACGAGGCTGTACAGCGGCAGGTCGAACCACCGGCTGTAGATCCACGCGACCGTCTTGAACGCCCACAGGTCCCACGAGATCTGCTTCGCGATCTCGCGCTTCTGGATCTTGATCGCCACCTCCCGGCCGTCCGGCAGCCGCGCCCAGTGCACCTGCGCGACGCTGGCGCTGGCTCTCGCGCGGCGCTCCATCAGGCCCTTGCCTTCTTCCCCGCGGAAGCTGACGCCGAAGACCTCCTCAACGGAGCGCCCGCCAAAGTCCTCGCGGATGACGGCCTCGACGTCGGACCACTCGCCCTGCGGCGCGTCGTCGAACATGCGCGCGAACATCTTCTGGAACTCGGGCGGCAGCACGGCGCTCTGCATGGCGATGGCCTGGCCGATCTTGAGGTACAGCCCGCCGTTGTGCCGGAGCAGGTCGAACAGGCGCTCGGCGTTGCGGCGGTGCAGGTCCTGGACGGAGCCGCCGGTGAGCGGGACGGGGCGGAAGTTGAGCTTGTAGTCGAGGGCGACGAGGAGGCCGGTGCCGAAGGTGCGGAGGGAGCGGCCGAGGCCGGAGGCGTAGATGTGGGAGTCGAGGAGGTAGACGGTGCCGACGGCGGCGGAGAGGACGAGCAGGCGGCGGGTCCATTTGCGGCCCTTGGGGTATGTGCGGGCGCGCTTCGGGGCGCCGAGGGAGGCGGGGGACGGCGGGCGGAGGGGTTCATAGCGGGATCCGCTGCGGGATGTCGAGTGGATTGGGCGTCGTGACGCTGCTGATGCTGTTGTGCCGGGTGGTTGTGGTCGTGTCGTCGTGGAGGGGCGCAAGCGGATGGATGGGTTGAGGATGCGCGCCGCGGGGGAGACTTGGAGGCAGCGGGACGCCGCTGGCCTCGCGGAGAGGGCGGCCATGCTTTGGCGCATCATGCTTGGGCGAGGTATTGAGGGAGGAGGAAGTTGCAAGCTCCCATATCCTTGACCTCTGTCGTTTGTTGCGCGGGGTGAAGGAAAGGGAACGGGAAAGAAAAAAGTAAGCTTGGGGGAAAGAGGGTGTTCGCGGCCGGCCAGTGCCGGATCTGTGATGGCTGGGAACAGGTAGGCAGATCAATGACGATAACAGGTGCCACAGTGGTGGTGGAAATTTCCGTCGGCGAATTGAGTACCGACTCGAGCCCGCTTTATCCGCTTATCCCCGGAAGCCCACCGAGTCGCCCGGGGCCGACTGGCCAGTGCCCACATCGGGGCTGTTCTTTGGACTTCACAGTCTTCTTTCCGAGGACATGTAGGACCACGTGTGTATGGGATTTGGTCGGCAGGTTACATACTGGAGGCTCAGCATCTCAGGCTCATTTTGTTGGGTGCTGGTGGTTCTTTTGAAGAGTCACGAGCCAAGTTGCCATGTTTGGTAGAGCCAAGAGGTTGCATTCATGATTCCGTTCAGACTGGTTTCAGATGCCTCACTATGGCAGAAATTTTATTCCTTTCAATGAATTTCTCACTTTGGCTGTAATTTTGATTTAAATCCACTGGGTATTGTCCCATCCGAAGCGGTAGAATCTGGAGCTCCTGCTCATGTTATGTCCGAACCGGTCCGGATCCAGGACGCGGCGGCCCGAGTCCGGCGGCCCCGGAGATCTGCTTGCGATAAATGAGCTACTGGCTTCCGAGACATAAGACCGCCAAATCGAACATATAAACATTTAAAGGAGCATGTTGATCATTCCACGCGTACTCCCACCAGTAGTTCCAAAGCCTCCTAAAACCTCTCGCTTCGTCATATTCGCAAATTCTTACCAGACCCTGGGCAGACGAGCATATACATCGCTTCCCCTTGGTATCCACATGTTCCAACTTGATGCGCACGCATTGTGTTCGCCAGTCGCGCATACCTTGACGACAGGGCAAGCCGGACATCTGGCTGCAGGGTTAGTCAGGCTCCGTCTGAAGTCCAGGCTCTGAGGCATTGAGGATCGACGGCGTCCGGTGCCTGAGGTTAAGTGAAACAAAACTGAGGTTGTGGGCCGATTTGAAGGAAAGCTTGACGCTGCAGTGGCTGCGGCGGCGACACCACCATCAACCTCTGTGCTATGACGGACGCCGCCTTGTACACTTACAGTTAAGCGGCGGCCGTTCCCGCCCACGGCTTGCTTCTGGCAAGTAGGTAAGCAGCCCCTTTCCCTTCGTCTGATGCCCCGAGGAGGGTGCCTGCTTGTTGGGCTGCTTGACCGCCTTCCGAGGCAGCACACCATCAGAGGTTTCGGCGACCTTCGGGAAAGCTTCCCTCGTGACCATGACGCATAGCATCGACAGATGTGACGTCTGAGAGCAGCTGTAAAGGGTCTCCGGACGCGGGTGATGGACTGCATGAACCTGGCGTCCTTGCACACCTTCCAGATGTGCAAAGTTCGCGTGGCTCAAATATGATTAAACACAATCATAAAACTTCCAGTGGGTTGGGTGGGAGTTTCCGTGATTAGCAGCTCAGTTCCAGATGTTCCTACCTGGGAAATAGGATGGGCACCACCATCGGGCTCTGACTGGGAATACACCAGCATCTGAATGTTCAAGGTGACCCTATGTTGAATTATCAATGCAACAGTCCGACTGTGAAGCAGTCTCAGAAGAACAACAGAACGAGACATGTCTTGATGTTCAGCACAGCCGCCTCGTTTGCCGTCCATGGCCAATTGATTCTCCGAGCAAAACTGAACAAGATGGTGGCTTGGCGGCGCCATCGGGAGACTGAAGCTGTAGGTCTTGGCTGCTGTTTAGCGCACTTGGCCTCGTTTTGTCAAGTCTCCAAATATATGGACTGGAGCCCAGGAATAGAGGAGAACAAGCATCACTTGGTTGCGCAGCCAAGAAGCTTGACACCACAACGGTTGCGAGTTCTAGAACTGTCTCTGGCAGAGACTTGTGCTGTCCTTGCAATGCTCACATGCGATGGCCTCGAGCGATTTCAGTCCGCTCGCCGATCATTGTTACGGATGACATTGGCGCCGATAGCCGTTGGGTCGAAAATACCGGGTCGGACCAGGGGGACAACCTCCGTAATGACAAAGGAGGTGCACAAAAGCCGAGAGCTCAACGCCGAACGTAGATATACTTTGGCGGTTTCCCATGATGCCCTCGCTTGTAGCTTGATATGTGACGGGCTATATGGCGGCCGGCATGGGCTGCTGTGTTCCGCGGTGGACTGAAGTTTTGGTCCGACTGGATTTTGAGTGGTTTTGACATGGAAGCTTGTGGGAGACGCAGGGCGAACAACCTGGTGGTCGCCTCAGAACCTGAGACGGCGAAGCGCCCATGTCGCAAAAACCTCCGCACTGCATTGTAGTCAGCAAAGCAGACAGCAATCTGCCTCAGAATCACACATCAAGGGCTCACGACATGGTCCACTTTCACCGCTCACAGCCACAATAACGAAACTTCAGCAGCCATTGGTCTTCAAGACCGTCGCCGGCTGAGCTGCTCGCAAGAGCGGGAGAGGCTCTGGTTTATTGCCCGTCTGGTGTCGACAAAGGCGGCCCAAAGTCAACCCTAGTTCTCTGACAGGTTTCGTGCTTTCGTCTTCGTCCTGGTGACTTGCAAGGGCACGGCTACGGCTTGGGACGACCAGAAATAGACCAGGTTTGTGATGTAGTGTCCAGCAATGCACTGATGCTGGCGGGGTCTGGTACTCTTTGTCAGCGGAGCCGCCCAGTTTCAACAAAAGCTGAGAGCCGTCCGGCGTTGTCGGCGCTGTCGTTGTCGGTATCGGGGCCTCTACTGACGTCTCTCAGACGGCTGGGCCTAGCCACTGCTGATACCGGCATGTGGATGGCACTGGGGGACAAGCTAAGCGATGCACCCTGATGCAACTGCGTAGTGTTTCTCGTGGATTTTGCAGTCGCGTTTCTTGCGGCTATCCGCCGGGAGGACGGCGCGATAACAACGGCACGCGGCACGGGAAGAATAGCATATTGAAATGAGCATTCGCGGCCTCTGGTGCCAGACAGCCGGAAAAGCTTGCATGTATCTGCTACGCAGGCCCCGTCGACGGTTCTCAAGTCGCAACAATAGTCGCTTGGGACTTATCGATCGCCGGGTGGATGTCCGTAATTGCGGTGGAGAGATGTGACCGACAACGGCGCTGCGAAGACCCCTGGAACACAGGAGTCGAGAGAGTTTCCGCTGCCCCAGTCCGACATGGGGTTAATACTCGTTATTATGCCTTTGCGTCAAGTCGCCGTTCACGGTCGTCCTCGAACGCCACACCTGGTTCTGAAGAAGGCCGCTTTTCGTCTTGGAAGCACCAGACTCAACCACCGCGAGTGGAAAGCAGCACCAGATTCTGGTCTCAATCGATCCTATCGAGACAATGGCTGCAGTATTCGATAAATGAGCGAAGCTGGCTGGCCGTGTTGAAGCGAGTCGAGATATGATTGGTGGATTGAAAGCAGGGGTGTCTTTGGCGAAGAGGGGATCGCAGAGGGGAGGAAGAGGAGGATGGGGCTTTTGGTGTGCATGGCGCATCCATCAGGCATCCCACTCCTCATCTTAAGCTTTACTGGATCCAGACCAACAGGTTCGCGGGCCTTGGGTGAGGACCTGCTAAATTGAGACAAGGTGGGATCGATAGTAAAATAGTCGAAGCTTCAATCGACCAGCGATGTAGCAGAGGCGGTGGTTTGAAAAGTGCCAGTGCTGCTCTGTATAAGTACCAACGATAGCGGATAGGCAAGATGGCCGGGCCCGCAGTAAGCACGCGATTGCGGATTCTCAGATGCACAGCTAGTGCAAGCGTTCCTGACTAGACGGGGATCCATTGAGTTTTTTTCACGGGCATTCTTTCTGTCGGGGTGATATCGGTGATTATCTGGGAGATTAGGAATGACACGGTCGATATTTGATATTCTGCGATTGGCGCTCATACCCATTGCTGCGGACTGGCATTCTGTGCTGACACTGACAATGACAACGCGCGTGTGGGTGCTCGAATGACCTGCAAGGCTGCAGCGGTTTGCTCACGGCATTTCCTGGATTGCAGCAGTGTTTCTGGCAACGATGTTAGCATTTGAATGAAGGCGGAGTGGTGGTGGCGAGCCGGGATAGGGGCGGTCTTGAGGGTGAGGCAGGGACACCATGCTTCGCACCGTTGTGTCATTGGTTGGCAGCGCAAAAGGAGGGAAGACAGAGAACCAGGGTCCCGTCTGGAGGCAAGACTCGGTCTGGACTGCTCAGTGCTAGCAGTGCAGTGCAGTGCAATGCTGGCTGGGTTGTTGTGGTCAATGGTCGGGCGAGGGGCACGCGGAAGAACAAGGGCATTGTTCGTTGAGGCCGGAATAGAGAACGTTTTGGGAAAAGCCACGCAGACGCGGCCGATGTTGGTGTCTTGGGCAACGACGCAATGTGGTGGGAGGAACAAAGAATTCCCACGGAAGGAACCTCTGGCCACCCCCAAAAACGGTAAGCTACTAAGTACCTACCTGCCTTCACCTTCACCTGCGGCTGCCCACCCACCCCCTCTGACGAATGCCAGTCGATGCATCTGCAGATACCTGCCTTCGGTTAGGTAGGTGTAGTACCTTAGGTACATTACCAAGTAAAGTAGTCAGTAATGACACTTGCGCTGCACGTCGGCGGCGGGGGCAGAGATATTGATTGATTTTGGGCCAGCCTGGACGATGTACTTGGACATCGAGAGCGAGAGCGACACACTCAATCTCAGGTTGTCAACTTGGACAGGTCCATGCAAGTGCATCTCGAGCCGCTGCAACCCACGCACACCCAATATGCCAGTCTGCCTGTCCTGTCCTGTCTTGTCTGCTCTGCTAGTCAACCAGTCTGTCTGCCCAACACTGGTGGGCTGTGCACCGCCAAACACCTTAGTTGGTACGTATCTATTTCTGTGCTTCAGCAGCGCAACAGCATCATAGCAATCAGTGGAGGTCCCGTCCTCTCGCTCCCACAGAGTTCGATGCCGCTCACTTCAGACTGGACCCCTGAGGATACCTGAAGAGGTACGTACCTGGATGGTACCGAGGCGTCACTCAGAGCCAGGGGCACGGCACGCAGTTCAAGTCCAAACTGGAGGCGCTGGATTGCTGTGCTTCCTTCGTCCAGGTGCCCAGCACCTTATCGGCACTGGGCTCTCTTCAATGTCTTGCAGCGTGTCTTGCCCCCTCCAACGCCGCCCGCCCCAGCCACAACGCGCAACGCAAAGCGACACTGACGGGACTTCCATCATCAATCAGCGCTCACTCCCTATCCCAGGCCTGCCCACACCCCCCTGTTCCTCTTGGCCCCCCTGCCCGGTCCAGTGGTCACCCAAAACTGCCCACTTGCGCTGCACCCACGCCTATTGACCCACCTTGATTCCTTCGCTCCCTCCACACAACCGCCCGCTCGCCCACCCGCTTGCCCACATCGTCCTTCTCCCCCAGATCGTGCCTGTCGAATTTCCCTTCTCCTTCTCTTCCTCTTCAGGTCGAACAGGACGACGCAAGCAACACTTCGCACGCTCCGAATCCTCGAATCCTCGACCCTTTCGCTCCTCACCGACTACTCCGACTATTCGATTTTTCACGACCCGTTGCATTTTCGATTCTGAGCCGTCTTTCTGCACTTTACGGCCACTTGCGACACTGTTTCAGGAACCACCACGACCGCCGTTGGACTTGACGAGGAAACTTTCGGGAACAAAGAGCTAGGAACAGGACCGAGGAGAAAGGACAGCAAGAGGCAGGAAACGATTTGATCCCAAATCCACAAACGCGTCGATCCATCTTTTCGTCACTCTCATTCATGTCGCATCCTTCAACAACTCAATTCAACTCCACCTACGCATAGACGATGCCGCGCGACGCTTCAATCCTCTACTAGCCTACCCGAACCTCGAACCTCGAACCTCACCACCAACGCCCGACTCTTTCCCGGGCGTATCTACACCCTTCTCGCCGCGTCTTGACGACGCCGGCTTTCCGTCTACCGTTTTGGAAGCAGGTTTCTTCGACCATCGACCGCAATCATGTTGCGGCCGGCAACCCCCATGTCGCTGCTGCTGCTAGCGGCCTTCGCCCTGATGCTGCTGTCAACTCTGTCGACCCCCATCATCAAGGCTATCCCGCTCGGCAGCTTTCAGGGCGTCAACTTTGGAGTTTTCGGCGTTTGCAAGGCCGACGGCTCATGCACCGGCATCGAAATCGGATATGACACTTGTAAGACGACACACTAACAAGAATCTCATTATCGTGCCATGAGAATCGTTGCTGACTTCATCTGCAGCTGGACTGTTTCAAAAGTCGGGCGCCTTTGACCTCCCGGACTCGGCCCGAAACACTCTTTCCGCCATTCTGATCGTGCATCCTATCGCCGCCCTGACGACACTCATCATGTTCATCATGGCTGCCGTCGCTCACCTTCACTCACCATCTCACTCCGCTCGCTACCTTCTCGTTGTCTTCATCTTCTCCTTCATCGACTTTCTCATCTGCCTCTTGGCCTTCCTCGTCGATGTCCTCCTCTTCGTGCCTCACATGGCCTGGGGCTCCTACATCGTTCTTGCCGCCACTATACTGGTGGGCATGAGCGGCTTGGTCTCCTGCGCCATGCGGCGTATGCTGGTCACCAGGAAAGCGAGAAAGAAGAGGATCGCCGAAAATGCTGAAATGAGTGGTGAGAACTATTACAATCGCGAAGCTCAAACCAAGACCGCCACTTCTGTTGCTTCTCAGCCGACTGTTCCCGTCGTCACTGGTGGAAACGGCATCGACAAAATGCCCACCTTTGCGTCTTTCGATTCACAGAAGAAGGACGACCAAGTCAGCGATGAGCGAATTCCTCTCACAGCCCGGAGCCCGGTCGACAGGAACCAGGGCAACATGATGGGCGTTGATGGTTACGCCAACGCTCCCCCCTCAAGATCCGGCTCTGCTCCCCCTATCAACAGAGATCCTTACGGAAACCCCATGCCTGGACCCGATGGCTACGGTCCTAGAAGAGGGCCTTCGCAAGAACGTATGCGGGGCAGAGGTGGTATGCCTCCTGGAGGACCCAGAGGACGCGGCGGAGGCAGAGGCGGATACAATGGCTACGGCCCTCCGCCTGGAAGAGGTGGCTACGGGCCCCCGGGACGCGGAGGCTACGGCCCTCCTCCGGGTGGTAGGGGTGGGTACGGACCACCGCCCCGTGGAGGCTACGGCCCTGGTGGCATGAGAGGCGGACGACCTCCCCCACCAGGCTACCAGAATAATGCAGGACCTTACGACCGGAGACCTAGCCCGGCCAATGCTTATGGCGCCCCCGCTCCCGGTCCTTACGGACGCAGCGGTTCAGAATCGGCGCCAAGCTACACTGCGACCAACACAAACCCATCTCTCCCGAGTATCCCCCAACAACAAGGATATGAGGCATACAACCCTGATCGGAACAGCCTACCGAGGGCTGAGTCACCCCCGCCTCTGCCTGGCGACGCGCCAGCCCCGATGGTTGGCCAAGCTGTCGAGATGGACGCGAGAACAGGCAGCCCTGCCCAGCCGCCTCCGGGCTTCGGGCAGTTCAGAGATAGTGATGCTGACATTGCCGGCATGGTCGGACTGCAACAAGGCGGTGGTAACAGGTCTAATCCTCAGAGGCATGACACCTACATGAGTGAGACAAGCAGGTACAGCCAGGATGAGTACGTTTCTTTGTGTGATCACCTAAAAGCTCCTACTAACGTTCTTCCAAGCGCATACGTCCCTCCTCGTGCCGCATGGAACCAAAACCAGCCCCCATCAAGAAACGCCTCCCCGCTCTCGCGTGCTGAGATGCCCGGACGTAGCTCCCCTGCCCAGCCCACAGCAAGCGACTACTACGAGGATGTTGATCCGCGCTTCGCGGACGCACCGGCCCCCGCCCCCGCCGGCAGAGCAGGCCCTCCACCTGCCCTTCAGGTACCTCTATCCGTGCCCAATATGTATGATTTAGACACTCATGAAGGTGCCGGTGCGCGCAGTCCTGGCGCCGAGTCTGATCGGTCCAATTTCACATCAATATCCCAACGGGGCATAAACCCGAGATGGAACCCCCCAGCCCCTTATGGCCAGGGCCCGCCCCGGCGGCCGCCTCAGCAGCGACGGCAAGATATGCTGCTGAACAACAACCCCGACTTCGAGCTGCCTGGAAAACGTCTTGGTCCTCCATCAAGACCGGGAGGTCCTGGCATGATATCCGGCAGCGCCTACCCGACGGGACTTTAATCGCTCCCCTCACTCGACCATAATCGGTTACGTTCTCCCCAACAGTCGAGTTAACTCGCCACGTATATACACCATTCACGGGATGCTTGGCACTTCAATTCGTCACCCTCCCTTGCAACAACACGAGCCACATTTTTGAGTCTCAGCACAGGACTCATGATGTCCATACATTCATGTCCTTCAGCCGATACCCCAGCCACATCATTCTGTTCTCGTCCGCCCAGTACATACACATCGGGCTCGTGGTTTCTCTTTTCAAAACGGGCATTTCTCTTCTGGCAAGTGCTTCTTTGCATCTCGAACAGCGGATACATTGGAGTCCTCGTCCTCAAGCATTAACGATCAAAAACCCCTTTTTCCTTTTGAGTCGGTACCTTTCAAAACAATGACCTCCTTTTTTTTTTCGTCATTTGGATGTTGGGTCAGGCGGTGACCTGGCCCATCGACCTCCAGCGCCCTTGTGTTGGGCCTTTTGAGCTAATCGATCCTGAAACGATAGCATGTGGGACACGATAGAATCATTGTTTGTGCATGTGTAAGCTATCTGGTCGTGGCCGTCTTTCTTCGACCTCTCTGTTTTCATGTTACGAGAGGCTATAGGGCGTGGTCGCAAAGGGGTGGGAAGAAACACAGAAAGTGGAGGTTTCAGGATCGTTGGCTTGGCTTGGTTTCTCTGGGCCCATTGGGTTTCTTGCATGTGACGGAGAAGGTCACGGATGGATACCTTGCTCCAGAGTGCGAGACTAGGGGGGCCCTCATCGCATCGAAACGGCGCGACGGCGTAGCAACAACATAGGCCAAGGTGTGTGTGGTGGAGGCATAACACAATGAGAAGTGTAGAATTCATCCGAACCATGCACCGTGCTCCCTCCCCCGTGCTGTCCGTGAAGCTTGGCGCTAGTGCCTGTCATTCCACTAGACGTGAGAACCTTAACCCTACTCTGACCGAGGCAGCAGCAGTATCGTACGGTGGCGTCTGCCTCTCGGTCACTGGACGTCTGGACTTGACTCTTCAGCGTTGTCGATCTTCCCACGACAGCTGCCTCTCTCCGTAAGGTCGTTCTCCACTCCGCATGGGGTAACGTTGCCGTGGCCCCGAGTCCCGATCCCAGAGGCTTGGCGGGCCGCAAGGTTAGCTGAGCTGACATACATACGGACCTACTCGGTAGTTAGGCCTCTTAGCGCCTCGATCTATGGTTTGTGAGATGTCGCCTTCTCCGCGGCGTAGGGCTGCTAGTTGGGTGGGATATCAGGCCATGTTGAAGGTTTACGGACGAAGACGGCTGGTGATGGAGAAGACCAGCTGGAGATTGAGTTTCGGGAGGCAGCTGTCAACGTTGATATCTCGGCTGGTGAAACAAGTGAGGCTGGCATTGTTCGGAGGCTTTGTGGGGAGCATGACAATGGACTTGGTGTTGAGGTGGTTCAGTGGGAGCTGAAGGGAGCTTCAGATGTTGGTACTAAGGGCCTTCGCATTGCCCTTTCTGGGGAAGGTGGAGATCTGTAAATGGGTAGTTGTAAGCGAAAAGTTTGATGCCACCGGCTTTGGGAAGGGAGCTTGGGCGGGTCCAGGGTAGACGGATGATGCTGTTGGCGGGAGCAGAGGCAAACATGGCTTGCCTTAGGGCGATGGGGTTTGTAAGCTGGATACCTAGCTCTAGCCATTGCCCTTTTGGAGATGAGGACGCTGGAGGTGCTTGGATGTGATTGGGTTCTTGGCTTGAAGTATGTCGTCGACTGGATCTGTGGCGTGCTTTTTGGGGGGCGGTTTTCCAACGGGGGCGGATTCTGTTTGAAATGAAGGCTCTCGTATGGACTGGGGAACGAGGTTTCTTGTCGTTAGTTCCGTGTTGAAACGGGAAGAAAGGGGGCGCGCTCCCGGGGTTGTTCTGTAACCAGATGGCAGATTGCGCTTGGTGGTAGCTCTTCCGGGGAAAGATGGCGGGTTTGGATCGCTGCGGGAAGCGCGCGGTCTGTGCCGTTGGAGATGTTGGACCGGTTCGTAGGTATGGTCCTTTTGAGAGGCTTGGTTAGGGTTTTTGATGGTGCGTGCTGCATGCCTGCATGAGATTGGCATTTTTGCTGTGTTGGTCGGTTTGTTGGTGTTGTTTTTAGAGGAGCATCAAAGGAGGGCGAGTTGGCGTTGATACCGGGGATATAAGAGATGACGATGACGCCCCTGACATGGAAAGATTTGGATGTTGCTCGAGGTATCTTCATTGTCTCATTGAGAAGTTTCGACGAACCACTACCATCTACCGTCGATTTTTCATCTGCAGATTTGTTCAGCCGCCAACATGTATGCCACTGGTATTTCTCGATCTCCGGAGAAGTTGATCGGTAGATTGGGTCTGGAGTCGCATCGACACTTTATTCTGTTCATCTTCCCCGTCCGCAAAAGCGACGATGTCGTCTACGTCGTTGGCGAGATGCACCGATACCATCTCTGGGTGTTCGACTCTGCGCCGCTGGTGCTTCCACGCCTCGAGGAGCACGTTTCTAACGGTGGTGGCGTCGACATTGGCAGAGTCAGGAGCTTCTCCAAGGGCATCGACACGGAGGTGCTGGGAGATCCAGTCGAAATCCTGCGATCTTGCATCCAGGCTTCGACTTCTTTGTGGTGAGTTTTATTGTTCATCTTTCTTCTTATCGGACCTTTGAGAGCGAACGTGGCCTTGCCGATGTTTCCCCTTGCTGTCCTCGACACCGTGTGGGTTCTCTCCTTCCTTCATCAACATCTCGACCTTTGTCGTGGTCTGTGTGGCAGGCTGAGACGGAAGGCAAGATCAACCACGACCTTGGGAGAAGAATATCGGGCATCTGATTTCTCTTTCCGGTCCGATATTGATGCTGGAGTAGAGTTTGGTGGCCATCTTCGATAGTAGGAAGGTGCTGCGAGCTCCTTCCTCGACGTCCAGGTGCCTGCCTTCCTACCCTGCCTCACCACCCGCCGGCCTCACCCACGACGCGTCGCTCTTTCCATCCGTAGAAAGCGCTCTCACCTTCCTTCCGTTCTTTCCATCTCGAGCTTGCCCTCCACCACTTCCGATTTTTTCATCCTCCCCACGATAAAATTCGTCTAACCTCCTTCTTCCTCCATCCCACCCAATCCTCTCACCGGTCGTCACCTTCACCTTCACATTCTCTCATCCCTTCCTCCCTCGCACCACCATCTTCGTCTAGACCAATTTCCTGATTGAAGCAACAGAGTCGTCTTGGCCGGCACGCATTCTTACCAGGGATACGAATTGGATGACGCCAAAGTATGCGGAAGCCCTGATTTTCAGAATGGACCATCTATCTTCTTCCTCGCCCAAGACGAGCGCAATTAAATTTACCCAGCAATCTGCCAGCACCTTCCATCAGGATGTTCCCAGACAGACCTACACCACTGCCGGTACCATCTACAACCCCAACAACGCCCAGCCGCTCCAGCCTCCCGTTCGTCGCGCCAGGTCTGTCAAGTGGCCTCCCCCAGGAGGTCCTGCCTCCGAACTGTCTCTCTTCCCCAAGTCAGCTCTTTCCAGCCTGTCCTTGATGAAGCCTCAGCCTCTCTGCACAACACCTATCAGTCCTCTTCCCAACCAAATCCCCAAATACTCGCCCCTTCAGCAAAACTACGACCGCGCTGTTAGCCCCAGCACTGATCACAGCCGCGAGTCTCCGATTGATCTGGATATCCGAAGCCTTTCTACATCTCGCGTATCTTCTTTCAACATGGCCACCACCACCACCACCCAGCTGGCTTCCCCGATGGAGGTTGCCCTGCCCACCCCTATCTCGGACAAGCAAGTCAACGACCACGACTCCAGTGACGAGGAGGATGACGACGCCCTGGGAGAGAATCCCTTCAAGGGTATGACCGTCAAGTCTCTTCAGAATCTGGCTTCGTATCCCAACCCTAACCAGAAGAGAGCTCAGAAGGCGCTTCTTCGGGCTCGTCCGGGCGTCACTCCCGCCCCTTCCATTGGAACCAACGCCAGCCGCTCCACTACTCCCGCTTTCAGTGGATATTCCTACGGAGACATGTCCGACATGGGCAACGACGGCTCGCACTCTCCGGGTCCGTTCCACAATGCCAAGCTTGATCCTACCGATGTCCTTAGGGTGCACGTTGACTTCAACAAGCATACTTCAGACTCTGCTGGTGGTTGGAGATCTGCACCCGTCGGCAATGACATCGCTGGCCCTTTCAGGCAGTACAATGCCCTCCCTCAGAGAGGCACTCAAGTTGGAGCGTACAAGTCTAGCCTGGCAACCGGTCCTGGCGCTCCTTTGCCGTTGACTGCCGGCCCTCCTGGCCAGCGCCAATACCGCACGCCGACATTCGAGTCCGCTATGAAAGCTCTCCAGGATGGTCCCAAATCTGAATTTTCTGGTGAGGAGACAGCTTCCGACTTTTACGCTGGCCCTCCCGGTCTACACAAGGCCCATGATATCATTCAGAACCCTGGCCCGGCGACCCCTGATCATTTGATCCACAGTCTGCCTGCGCTTCTTCTCGACTCGACGCCTGATAAGGACGACTGGTTGGACTCGTTCGGAAGACAGACGTCTGCTGTGGACCTGGAGAAGATGCTCGACGCTTTGACGAATGATGACAAGGCCACCAACGAGAATAAAGGCTTCCAGCAGCCCGCAGACTTCATGCCGTTTGGTCACGGTAACCGCAGCTTCAACGTTGGCGGCAACAGACGCACCGGCAATGCGCCATATGAGAAGTACTGGCCTCCTCGCCCAGTTTGGAAGGCAGGAACGAGCCAGATCTCAGACCAAGCGCTGGAGGCACGAAACGAACGTGTCAACCGTCTGTTCTACGCGGGCACTGGCGAGCTCGGTAAAAGCATGGAGTCCGTTATGAGAGACGCCGAGTTCCGTCAATTCAAGCGTCAAGTTGGAGTCATTGGAGACGGTCGACCTAAGCCCAAAGCAGAGAAGGTCGAGTACCCGCACATATCTGCTCAACAAGTTAACAGCATGACGACCAAGGAGGCCGCAGACCCCTTCATCACCATGGCCTTCTCGGCGCTTTTGAATCAGGTAGAGGCGGGTATCAGCCAAGACAAGTTCCATCAGTGGAAGGACCCGTCGCCTTCCCTGGTCGACAGATCCGAAAAGGGACGTCAATCGGTCTTTGGAAACTGAATCTAGGACTGGGTATGGCAACCATCAGAATTGCGCATACTGGCTTGGCTTCGTTGGCGAGGATGCTTGGATGGGGACTCTATACTTGGGGCCTCTTGTGTGGTGTCGGCTGGAGCAGGTCTTGGTATTACAAAGGTGTTAGACACGACAGCCACCATCGAAACATAGGTTAATGGGGAATGAAGGAAGTTGTTAGTAGTGTCTTCTAGATTCAGGCGGTACCGCAAGGCAGCTCATGCTGGCCACCAGTCTTTTCTACTTTATTCTCTCAGATAGACAATCAAAAGCTTAGGTATCTTTCAACCTGCCGCGTTGGCGTGAGATGCCCGGTGAGAGAGCCCTTGCGTTGGAAGACATGTTTGCTTGGCGTGAGCTGGCGTCTAAATAAGCCCGCGACATGGCTTGGTACGGTGTCCAATGGAGAATTAGCCACACTTCCTTGTGAGATAACTCAAATGCCACCGTTCGCGAGGACTGATGCTGTGGCTGACATCCCTAGTTGCGTCGCAATCTGGCCAGAGCAGGGATGTCAATTGAGTCACGTGATGTGACCCGCCCAAATGTTCTTGTGGGGCAATGCCTGTCCCCCTTCACACCTGAAGGCGACGTGGTAGCAAGCTGGCCTCCAGACCTGACTTCAGACCAGCCCGCCAAAACACCCGTTGCCCATCATGAGTTACGGCAAGAAAGACGAAGACGCCGATTTGGGCTTGGTGAAGGTGGACAGAACCCAAGTCTTCCAAGAAGGTTAGTTGGAATTTCTGCAGCTCGAGCGTTTGCGAGCAAGCTGGCTAAAAGGGCGGGATAGCACGCCTATTCAACAGCTCTCCTATCCAACCGCGAAGATGCCGGACCCTGCTCACCAAGATCCTCCTTCTGCTCTACACGGGCGAGAAGTTCCCCACGAACGAAGCGACGACCCTCTTCTTTGGCATCTCGAAGCTCTTCCAGAATAAGGATGCCAGCCTTCGGCAAGCGGTTCACCTCTGTGTGAAGGTTAGACCAGTCCAATACGGATGACGCATGGCTTGTGGGCTCACCTTGATCGCAGGAACTCGCGTCCTCCGCCGAGGACATCATCATGGTCACCAGCACCGTAATGAAGGACACTGGAGGCAGCACAGATGCCATCTACCGCCCCAATGCCATCCGCGCCCTGTGCCGCATTATCGATGTACGCTGAGCTCCGAGCTCCACGATACCAGGGATGGCACGCGCTAACTAGCTCCAGGCGACCACCGTCCAGTCCATTGAGCGAGTGATGAAGACCGCAATTGTCGACAAGAACCCCTCCGTTTCGTCTGCCGCCCTCGTATCGTCCTACCACCTCCTTCCGATTGCCAAGGACGTCGTCCGCCGCTGGCAGAGCGAGACACAGGAGGCTGCCGCCTCCACCAAGTCCTCGAGCGGCTTCTCCCTGGGCTTCTCCTCCTCGAGCGGCCAATTGCCCGCCAACAACTCAACGATGCCCCAGTACCACGCCATTGGTCTCCTATACTCGATGCGCATGCACGACCGCATGGCGCTGGTGAAGATGGTGCAGCAGTTTGGCGCGGCAGGTGCGGTCAAGAGCTCCGCCGCGATCGTCATGCTCGTCCGTCTGGCCGCCCAGCTCGCCGAGGAGGACCCTTCGCTCAGGAAGCCCATGATGCAGCTGCTGGATGGCTGGTTGCGCCACAAGAGCGAGATGGTCAACTTCGAGGCCGCCAAGGCCATTTGCGACATGCGCGATGTCACCGATGCCGAAGTGTCCCAGGCCGTCCACGTTCTCCAGCTCTTCCTCACCTCTCCCCGCGCCGTCACCAAGTTCGCCGCCCTCCGCATCCTCCACAACTTCGCCTCCTTCAAGCCCAACGCCGTCAACGTCTGCAACCCCGATATCGAGCTCTTGATTTCCAACAGCAACCGATCGATTGCCACCTTTGCCATCACCACCCTGCTCAAGACCGGTAACGAGGCCAGTGTCGACCGCCTGATGAAGCAGATTTCTGGCTTCATGTCTGAGATCACCGATGAGTTCAAGATCACCATTGTCGAGGCTATCCGCACCTTGTGCCTGAAGTTCCCCAGCAAGCAGGCTGGCATGCTTGCTTTCCTCAGCGGCATCCTCCGTGACGAGGGTGGCTACGAGTTCAAGCGTGCTGTTGTCGAGAGCATGTTTGACCTGATCAAGTTTGTGCCGGAGTCCAAGGAGGATGCGCTCGCTCACCTTTGTGAGTTCATTGAGGACTGCGAGTTTACTAAGCTTGCCGTCCGCATTCTGCACCTCCTCGGTCTCGAAGGACCCAAGACCTCCCAGCCGACCAAGTACATCCGCTACATCTACAACAGAGTGGTTTTGGAGAACGCCATCGTCAGAGCCGCCGCCGTCACCGCTCTCGCCAAGTTTGGTGTTGGTCAGAAGGACCCCGAGGTCAAGCGCAGTGTCGAGGTTCTCCTCACCAGATGTTTGGACGACGTCGACGACGAGGTCAGAGATCGTGCTGCCCTCAACCTCAGACTCATGCACGAGGACGACACCATCTCCGAGAAGTTTGTCAAGAACGGTAAGTCAATCATAAACCACGCTACTGCACCCAAGCTGACCCCTGAACAGACAGCATGTTCTCTCTTCCGTACTTCGAGCACCAGCTCGTCATGTACGTCACATCCGAGGACAAGTCTGCGTTCGATACGCCCTTCGACATCTCCCAGATTCCCGTTGTCACCCGGGAGCAGGCCGATGCCGAGGACCGCACCAAGAAGCTCACGGCGACTGCCCCGTCGCTCAAGCCTCCCAAGGTTGGCCCGACGAAGACGTCCACCAGCGGCGCGGAGGCTGCTGCGTCAGCCACCGCTGCGGCTCAGCGTTACGCCCAGGAGTTGATGCAGATCCCCGAGATGAAGGAGTTTGGCAGCGTGCTCAAGTCATCGCCTGTTGTCGAACTCACCGAGTCGGAGATGGAGTACGTTGTCACCGTTGTCAAGCACATTTTCAAGGAGCACATTGTGTTCCAGTACGAGATCAAGAACACTCTCCAGGCTACCGTTCTGGAGAACGTGTCGGTCGTGGCAACGCCTTCCGAGGAGGAGGAGCTCGAGGAGGTCTTCATCATCCAAGCCGAAAAGCTCCCTACGGACGAGCCCGGCAAGGTGTACGTCGCCTTCAAGAAGGTCGGCGGAGAGGGCTCCATGCCCGTCAGCAGCTTCTCCAACATTCTCAAGTTCACCAGCAAGGAGATCGACCCTACAACAAACGAGCCGGAGGCTACTGGCTACGACGACGAGTACGAGGTGGCCGAGTTCGATCTGGCTGGCAGCGACTACGTTGTGCCGACATTCGCCAGCAACTTCAACCACATCTGGGAGCAGGTTGGCGCGGCCGGCGAGGAGGCTGAGGAGACGTTGCAGCTCAGCAGCATGAAGAGCATAGCGGGTAAGTTCAACATGGTCATCCAGAGTACGAACAGAGCTAACAATATGTGCAGAGGCAACGGAGCAGCTGGCCAAGGTGTTGTCGCTGCAACCTTTGGAGGGTACCGATGTGCCAGTCAACCAGACGACACATACTCTCAAGTTGCTTGGAAAGACTGTTGGCGGCGGCAGGGTGGTTGCCAATGTGCGGATGGCTTACTCGTCCAAGTCCGGTGTCACGACCAAGATCACGGTCCGCAGCGAAGAAGAGGGTGTGGCGTCTCTTGTTGTTGCATCTGTCGCTTAAATATACTTGTTTGGAGTTCGTGGGGGTCGATACATGGTCGGAGGTCCAAGCAAGACGTACGGCACAGACGAGGACTTTATTATAGCCGACTCGCGCAGCCGCCGCCATAGTAGGGGGAGCTGAGGTCAGCGCATGATAGCGTGTGCGTGTAAAAGGACTGGCGGCTCGCGTATATCTAGAATGAAGACACGAAAAAGGCATCATGAAGACTTTGCTAGATTTCGTGTGTTGTGGTGTATTTTGCGTGATGGGAAATAAAACGGATTTCTATCTTGATCTTTTGAGAACAGTCCTTGTGTGGCTTTGAGGTTCCAAGGCCTGCATGACATTGGAGCCCTGTCAATGAAGTCGCTGTTGTCGTCAAGCCTCAGGGCATCCCGTCGTCGATCTCGAAGCCCTCAGTGATTGGTCTAGCGGCAGGACGGCTGGGGCTTGACAACTGGCACGGGCCAATCCTAAGCCGAATACGGGTTAGCCTCCTTACCAGGGGCTCGGGGAGCCGGGAAATGACGTTGTGAGGACTGTTTTTTTTTCCTCTGTCGCAGTGTGTGCGCTGCGCGTGTGAGCTGTCCAAGCAGGAAAATTTCCCTCTCCCGGCCGGCGGCCCACGCGACCACATGTCAACTAGGAATACCGTCGTCGTCTGTAGTTTCTTGTCAAGTGTGTCTGGTCTCGGGAAGAGCATCTGACCGGCTTGTGACGTTTGTTTCTCCAAGCTCTTGTCTCCGACTACCTCTGGTCTCCTCCCACTTGGAATCTCCCCGCCTTCTCTGCCTTTCTTTTAGCCCGCGCGCAAACCCGCACCCCGCAGCTCGACGAACCGCGTTTCCCCGGTTTTGAAGCTATCGTCGTCACCGCTCCAACAAAAGAGAAGTATCGGAGGGGACCCATCGAATCGAACGGGACTTCCACCGTGTTCTCGCGCCTAAATTTTCCCTTGCTGCCAGCCCACTTTGGGAACACTTGGCCCTGCATATCGAAACCTGCCCTTTGCGGACAAAACCACCAACACAACCTTGAGAGTTTTCTCCTTCAACTCCTCATCTCCACGACAACCCTCGAGACAACGGTTCTCACCAGAAGGAAGGCTAGCTACGGAAAAGACACGCAAAAACAACAAAAACCATGGTCTACGTGCGCCAGGACCGCCTCCCGGCGCTCAAGGAGTACAAGTACTCCGGAGTCGACCACTCCTTGACGTCAAAGTACATCCTGAAGCCCTTCTACACGAACGTGGTGATCAAGATGTTCCCCATGAGCATGGCGCCGAACCTGATTACCCTGACGGGCTTCATGTTTGTTGTCGCCAATCTTCTGACGCTCCTCTGGTACAACCCGACGCTTGACCAGGACTGCCCCAGCTGGGTGTACTACTCGTGGGCCGCGGGCTTGTTCCTCTACCAGACCTTTGACGCGGTGGATGGATCTCAGGCGTAAGTTTCTGCTGCCATGTCTTTCTTTTCGCGAATCCAAGCTAACAGGGTTTGTTGCGAATAGTCGCCGAACTCACCAGTCGGGCCCGCTGGGCGAGCTCTTTGACCACGGCGTCGACGCCCTCAACACGTCCCTCGAAGTCCTCATCTTCGCCGCCTCGCAGAACATGGGCCAGGGCTGGATGACTGTTGGCATCCTCTTCTCCTGTACGTAACCACCCGCCGCACATATACGAAGGAAAAAAGACTAACATTCCCTCACCAGCCCTCCTCACCTTCTACGTCCAGACCTGGGACGAATACCACACCAAGACGCTGACCCTCGGCATCGTCAACGGCCCCGTCGAAGGCGTCCTCATCCTCGTCGGCGTCTACGCCCTCACCGGCTACCTCGGCGGCGCCTCCTTCTGGCAGCAGTCCATGCTGCGCACCCTCGGCGTCCCCGCCTCGCCCTCCATCCCCGCCGCCCTCTACGACCTCTCCTTCACCCAGTGGTACATGGTCCAAGGCGCCCTCGTCCTCGTCTTCAACACCGTCGAGTCCGCCCGCAACGTGATTCGCGCCCGCCGCGCCCGCGGCGACCGCTCCCGCGGCGCGCTCCTCGGCCTCCTCCCCTTCTTCGGCATCTGGGCCCTCGTCGTCGCCTACCTCGCCCTGCATCCGACCATCCTGCACTCCCACCTCGTCCCCTTCGTCATGTTCGCCGGCGTCGTCAACGCCTACTCCGTCGGCCAGATGATCACCGCCCACCTCGTCAAGCTCGACTTCCCCTACTGGAACGTGCTCGGCCTGCCGCTCGCCTTCGGCGTCGGCGACGCCCTCGGCCCCCTGCTGCAGGAGCGCACCGGCTTCGGATGGCCCAGCGCCCTCGGCGACGACGTCTACCAGGTCGCCTTCATGTTCCTCATGCTCGGCATGGCCGTCGGCGTGTACGGCAGCTTCGTGGTGGACGTCATCGTCACCATCTGCGACTACCTCGACATCTGGTGTCTCACGATCAAGCACCCGTGGGTCGAGGGGCAGGAGGCCAACGGCGATGCGAAGGGCAAGAAGGTGCAGTAAGAAACTTTTCTTGCTGGCTTGCGGTTGTCTCTCTAGATCTTGTCTAGATGCAGGTGGGGCCTAAGGGGGCTGAATAGCGAGAAGGTTTCTGGTGAAAGGAAGCTTCTTTTGGCGTGTGGGCTTTCCCCCTCTGTTGTTGGATGGGGGAAATTCGACCCGGGAGAGGAGAAGCTCCAAGCGCAGGCAGAGTTTCCTCCGAGCTCGAGTACGAAGACGTTTTGGAATGCATGGATGAGAAACACGACACGATGAACCATGGACTACGGCGGGGTTGGGCTGGAAGGGAAACGAACAACTTGATGGCGGTGGACATTTGGGAAAGGGAAAAAAAACAGGGAGTGAGGGTTTCTGGCGGAACGTTATGTTACGTCTTGTTTTTCTCCCTTGCACCTCTCTTTCGGACAACTTCTGCGAGATTCCCACGAGTTTCCAGCGAGCTTTCTCCTTTTCTTTTCTTATTTTCTGTATTCTTCATATTCTCCCCCCCTATCTTCGGCACGGCAAGTTCAGGAGTTCGGGGCGAGTGGGAATTATCGGAAACCTATTGGCGGGTAGTATGTCTTTCGAAGACACATCATGCCAGTCAGAGGCACTTGAGAGATCATGACGTTGCATCAAAGCGCCATCATCATCTCCCTATACGGCTACCGGCACAGATTTTGTTGTTGTTCGTCGCATATGTAGTCTTTTGTTTGCGGCAATGTTTTGCAAGTAGATGAGATACCATTAATCTACCCTCCCGGAATATGATTTCTCAAGCTAAGCATCTGTTCACGCACAACTCCCGATGAAAGTAGTCATCATAGATAGACTTGGCGGTGATAAACCGATATGCACCGGTCTTATTGGCAGCTAGCGACACAAAAGAACTCGGCAGTAGGCTTGGTCTGCTGTGGCCAGAAAAAAGGCACCAATTACATGTCGCCACAGGAGGACGGCCGAGGTGCCCTAGTAAAGCCAGACGAGAGGTAGCATCATGAATCACACTCGAAGAACACCACGCTAGGCACCGAAATTGTGTAGAATTTCTTCGAGACTTTCTTTCGATGACTTCAAAGAGGAGCGGGATGCCTAAGCATGCAAACTTGGAATCCTTTCGAACCCCTATTCCCCCCCGCGTTTTACCCCCGGAAGAAAATAGCAGGGGAAAGAGAAGCAAATCAGACCAGAGTGGTAACCCCAAAAGCATGCAATTTGCCAGAACGTTCCGAGCGTACCGGAGAAAAGGCGACGCCCCGCTGCGGCAGCTCTGCCCCGTCTCGCCCCCATCCTCCGTTTCCCCATTGACGACCATGCTCCGTTTGTCCCAGCCTGGCGACGTCGACTGTGTGTTGCTTGGCCACGCCGGCGTCTCATATTGTGTGTTTCTTCCAGATTCTCCGTGTAAATAAAACAATAGACGCCAAGTTGTCTACAAATATTTTGTGACTCGTACCTCGTGCTCCCCCAAATAAAAGAGACATTGACCGTTAAAAAGCATGACACATGAATCGCAGCGATGCATTTGAAGGCCCAACCTGCTCGCGGCGGGCTCGCCGTCATATCGTCTGTCGTTTCAGCAGGCGGACCCCCCATATTGACTCCGTTTACCCAAACGCCGAACCTGGCCGGATGTAAGGCTCGTTATGTCTGTTGGTGCTGACAAAGCACCCTCGTCGACCGCCTCCCCACTGGGGAGAGAGGGGGCAGCTACAGGAGCTCGTCGCTGCCGCTCGCGACGCTGCCTTCGATGGCGTCGAGAATTGAGCGCTCCGAAAACACCGGGCCCTGGCCATCGCAGCGTGCCTGATGCTTCAGCCGCTCGCTTACGTCGCCTACATCGACCAACCCCCGCTTGAACAGCGGGTGGTTGATGATGAAGTCCCACGTGGCACCAGCCGCTAGCAAGCGTTCTCCTTCAGATGATATCGCGACTCGGTGACTTGGCGTTTTGTTGTTGTGCTTCGCTAGAAGGTCGGTGTAGAAGTCCTTGGGGTTGTACGTCATCGGCCCCGTCATCCGAGGCTCCGGCGATGTAGAGCTGTGGTGGCCGTTCATTGATGATGTAGCACGGAGGATCTCGTTCTCGGTGCTGATCTTTTGCATCTCGCGCTTGAGTCGTTCGTTCTCGGTGGACTTTTGCTGGGCCTCTGCCTCGAGATTCGCAAGCTTGGCTTCAAGGTCCTTAACGTGCTTTTCCTTGCGCTCACGGAATGCGCGTTGACTATTGCGATGGTAATGTTAGCATGCTCTGCTTGTGAGAAATGAGCTGCTCATGCATGGTGTGCGACAAAGGTTGTACGTACGCAGCGCGGTTCTGGGCCTTCCTTCTTGACTGGGCCGGCGTCAGGTCCTCGTCGTCCGAGTTGGAACCGCCGCGACGGGAGTGGTCATCCATGGGCTCCTGCTTGTGGACAACCACCTCAGGCTGAGGCTTGATCTGCTGGACGGGGGGAGCGGGCATGCCATTGTGCTGCGGTGGTTGCTGAGGCGGCTGGGGTTGCTGCACGGGCAGATGGTTCGGAGGAGTCGGCGGGCCAGGAGGGCCGGGAAAGGAAGTATGCTGAGGGTTGAACTGGGCGGGAGCATAGTTTTCAAAGGAGTTGAAGTGCTGGTCGTTGGGGTACTCGGCGTAAACATCCTGCTCGGTCATGATTGTGTAAGTGCATGTCGCAGTGCGCTAAGCGGCAATCCACCAGTGATCGGTGGGTATTCGGGGTTCAGAAGGGAAAGGAATTCGTTGACTTACGGGTGGAGATGTCGTATTAAAATCGTCTGAACCTGCCGAGTTGGAATGCGATGGCGTCAAGGGCGGAATGCCCATGAACTGGTAAGGCTGCGCCTGAGCGAAGTACTGGTGGGAGAAGTCCATGGTCGCGCGATGTTGTCCTGGAAGAGAAGAGGCGACTCTTTGGAACGAGGAGGAATCGAGAATGGGAAAACGAGCTGGGTAGAAATGAGAGAGCGGATGGGCGTGTGCTGATGAGGGTCCAGGCCAGGAGGGGGGAAAGGAGGGGGGCGGCGCTGGATGGTGAGGGTCGACGTGCCGGTAGAAATGCGCCAGTCTGCACCAGCTCTAGTGACAGGGTGACAGGGCGAGCACTGCCTAAATGATGTTTGTTGGTGGGATTCGATGGGATCGGACGGGCTTGGGGGCGCAAGGAGGGCGTTGCTAAAGCCGTGAAAGAGCCCACTTGGGACACGTCTAGACTTGCTTCAAGGGTCTTTTTCACTTTTGCTGGCGCGCGGTCAGTTGCGTGTTTGACCACTATGCAATATATATTGCTCCAAGGAAGGGGATCCGTACGGAGACCCTACCTACGGAGAGGTAGGCGAAGATGCCCGCCCGCGACCACAGCGAAGAGAACGGGGAGCAGCGGGCAGCAGCAGCAGCAGCAGCAGCAGAAGGACCCGTGGAAGGCGTGGATGCGTCGATGCACAGGCCAGGACAGGGCCAGGCCCAGGGCGAGACGTGGAGCTGGGGGGAGACGCTAAACGCTTGTTGTGATGGAGCAGCCGAGTCGACCGACGGATGATGAGGAAGAGAGAAGGGTGTGCCGGGCCCGTTGGTGTGTGTGTGCGTGTTTGTGTCTCCTCGCAGGATGTAAGGTGCAGCACCCACAGTGGGATTGCTGTACAAGCTGCAGACCGCACACTGCAGCAGAGTTGTTGTTGGTGGTGGTGGTGCGGGTTGCAGGCAAGACAAGACAGGACAGGACAGGACCAAGCCCAAGACCAGACAGGGCAAAGGCAGGGCAGGGCGGGACAGGGTCTGGTACGACAAACCGGTGGCGCAAGTTTCGAGGGCTTGTCTCAGTGCCGCTAGCGCTGCCGTCGAGGTTTTGTTTTGGATCTTTTGCTTGTGCCAGACGATCTGGAGACGAGCAAGAAAAGACGGGGTGACAGGGTCGGATGGATGGGGAACCCGCAAGACCAAGCTCCCTCTTAAGAGCAGTTGTCTCCAGATATAGGGCAGCGAGCGACGTAAGTGTCGACGTGCAAAAGGATGCGTAAGAACTGACGGAGATGGGAAGATAGGACGAGAGCGCGAGGTCCGGACGAAATCACAGGTAGGTGGTGTTCAGGGGCCCCGCCAAGGGAAGTCAAGAGAACTGATCTTTGTGGTGTAGGTGCCCGATTAGATTGGCTGCACCCTGCGGGATGGTTGGTCTGTCGTGTGGGAGCCGTGTGTTGTGGATCTCGAGGCAAAGTGGACAAGACTGGACGATCTTTGCCTGTGGTGTGCCTGTCTTGTATTCCCAGACTGCCGGGGCGTGTATCGCCAAGTAGATATTGTTCGAAAGATGATATTATTAGGATTGGAATCTAGGCCCGTCGTGTCTAGGTCGAAGTCATGGTCGATATTAAGTATGCGGTCCGTTGGCGTCGAAGCAGACGAGAGACAAAAGAGGACTGGCGAGCTGCACGTGGCCGGGCACTTCCCAGGAGAGTTTGACGGGGCTCCTTGACGTCGTTCGTGACTCGTCTGAGTCGGGGTCGAGAGACGAAAGGCAGAAGAGCACTGGCCATACGACTCAATATGTCGGTCCTCAAGACGCGAGTTGGCGAGCTTAAACCAGCAGAGGCTGCTGGTTGCTGTCCAAGGTAAGGGGAATGCGCCGTAGTGTACCGTACCGCAGTAGTGTGGTGGTGAGCAAGGTATGGATGGAAGCAATAGAGTTGAGCGGAAGGTAGCTGCAAGTATCTCGTCAAAGGCTAACAGGGGACGGACGGCGGGGATAAGGTTGCTGTCGTTGAGGCAAAGGGAGGCGAAATCCAGTTTTGTTGGCCTCTGAATATGACAGATGAAAGATCCCTGGGGAGAAATGGAGCTCGTGGGCAGGACTGGCCTGATGGTTTGGAGGGTAAAAAAGCTCAAGAGACGTTGACGTTGGAGCGTGTGTAAGTGAGGTGGCTCAACACAAGGTTCGACGGGGGGGTCGGGTCGGGAGGTCTGTCAAGCGTCAGATTCCCTTGCTGGAGGAGAGGTGAGGTGTGCTTCGTCACAGCGCATGGGACGT